ATCTAAACACCTTTGGACTTGCCAAATAACTTTGGTAATTAACAGACACAGTTTGTAAATGGAGTGAATTATTGTGTTTCTCTTCAAGAGCAATACAAACTCTGGAATTTGACTAGAAAACAGTATGCATGGGTGGGGTGACTGAGAGTATCAAAGGCAAAATTTACTCAGTACACAGACGGTTCTGTACGTAAGAATTTGAAGTTGTTTAAATAATTACATTTATTACAGTGGTTTGATAGGACAAGAGGTAACAGCTTTGAATCGTGCCAGGGGAGGTTTGGGTTGGATGTGAGGAAACATTTCTTCTCAGGAAGAATGGCGAGGCATTGGCACAGGCTGCCCAGGGAGGTGGAGGATTCACCATCCCTGGAGATGTTCAGGGAAAGGCCGGGTGTGGGCTGAGGGACGTTGTTAATGGGGATGGTGAGGGTGAGTTGGACTAGATGATGGTCTCAGTGGTCTTTTCCAACCTTAATGATTCTGTGTTCTGTTAGGCCAGATCCAGCTTATTGCTTGGGTGTGATGTGACTGTTGTATCAGCTGGGCTGCCTAGCAAGACTAATGTACAGAAGAATGTGGAATTAAAAGTTTAGATCTGAAACAAGTGGCATTTCTAAAACCAGCTTTTGTTTAATATGAAAGTTGAAAATGTGTTTTCTTCTCTAGAAGTAGAACATAAAGAACTGTACCAAAGAAGAACCATTATAAACTGAGAAAGCAAGGGCACAGGCAGCTCTGGGTACCAAGACACGGTAATTCATCACTTAAAACAGACAGCACACCACAGTTTTATCCTCGACCAGTTCGTGCTCTTTGACACAGAACTTGGGCATCTTCCAGAGATCAGTGTGATACAGAGGCCACTTCTGAGGGAGGGACAGTAGGCATATGGTTAAGAATACTTCTTTCCTGGAAGCATTCAAGGCCAGGCCGGATGGTGGCTTTGAGCAGCCTGGTCTAGTCAGAGGTGTCCCTGCTATAGCAGGGGTCAGAATTCTGTCTTAAAGGTTCCTTCCAACTCAAACCATTCTATGGTGAGAAAGCTTGCCTACCACATTTACCAGCCCCATACCCACTTTGTCCATTAGGTTGCTCTGCTTTCTTTTGGAAATGGGAGGCCATCAAAACTCTGTTCTTAACATTATTTTTTTTTTAATTATTTGTGGACAGTAATGCAGTAACACGTTGTCAGAACTTAAGTTGGAAGGTTGTCCCACTGTTGAATGCATACACTGACCTTATAACCTAACGTGTGCAATCAAAGATATATACAGATTTTTTTTATGGTTTGACTTGCTGCATTGCTGCACTTGTGGTCATCTGCAGATGTAGGATTCTCAGCCCAAATACTTTGAGAGCTGGTGCTGAGGTGCTGTCACAAGATGTGAAGTCAGTCTCACCTGTCTGGCTAAAGCCTAAACGTAGGTTTCTTCTGATGTAACTGCTGGGCTGTTGCACATCAGGGAGTATGTTTTTGTCTCGTGGGGAGCCTGACTCCCAAGACCTTTTTATTAATTTTCTGTATTCTTGTAAAATAAAACCAGGCAACTGTACCAGCTGGAATCAGGTTGGGGTCAGGTTAGGGAAAGGTTCTGCAGCAGAGAGCGGTGGGCACAGCCTGGAGCTGAGGGAGCGTTTAGATTTCCCTCAGCCATAGGATTTAGATCTTGGATGCCACTTGATGATCCACATGGGTCCCTTCCAACTCGGGGTACTCGATGACTCTGTGGTGCAACACTACTCATGGAGTATTTGGGAGGATTGATTATGTTCACACAGAATCACCCAGGTTGGAAGGGACCTCAAGGATCATGTAGTTCCAACCCCCCTGCCTGGCAGGGCCACCAAACATACACATTTAGATCAGGTTGCCCAGGACCCCGTCCAACCTGGCCTTGAACACATCCAAGGACGGGGCATCCACAGCCTCCCTGGGCAGCCCGTTCCAGGGCCTAACCACCCTCCTAGTAAAGAACTTACCCAGTCAGACCTGGGTCCTTGGTGTTGTGTTTCTGGTAAGTTGCATGGAAGGAAAAAGCTGATTGTAGGTCAGGGAGCAGTCTGTGTCACGGGAAGGGGAGACCATGCAGCAAATATTTTTCTTGACCAGAGTTCCACGTGCTGTATGTTTGGACTTCTTCCCACCTAGAGGCAGGGTTTGGGCCCTTCTGGCAGCATTGTATTTTTTTGTTTTCTTTTGTTGTTTTTTTTTTTTACTGTGAAAATGGAGCATGCTTTCATATTTCTCACTCTGCTCTCATGAAAAAATGTGGTGCTCTAAAATCAGCAATTACCTTTTACCAGTACTGCATGTTCCCAAAGTGAAAGGTTCAGTTAGTAGGTCATTCTAACAACAGCAAAATTAGAATTCTTTCCAAAGGCTTCATGCAGACCTGGTATTCCTGTAAGTACCACATACTCAAGTGGAACAATATATTTTCTTCAAGGAGCAAGAGATGCATTTTTATATGCTGTTTTATGAGAAATATTTGTTGCTGGCTATTTATGAAACAGAGCACTGCAGAAAGGAGGGAAAAAGTAGTGGTAGAAAATGTTTTTAGTAGTTAGGTACCACTTCTCTTGCAGAACGTGTTTCCAGGACAACGAGGTTGATGATGGAGTGACAAATTGAATGTGTGTTTCCTTTCCTTCTCCTTTATTTCTCGTTAATCGGTGAGGGGGGATGACCTCCCTTTGTACTTGAGCTGTTTGCATGGTGTTGTAGCATACCCAGTTATTTTTACCTGTGCCAGGTTGTCCGTGTGGCTCTTTTTAGCTATTCAGAAGATTTGGGGTATCTCAGAAATGGTGTTTGTGGTGTTTTCTGTTGATAGCATGTGATATCTGAGTAGTTGCTGTCTGTGGACAGTTCTTCTACTTAGATAATAATACTAATGATAGAAAAGATCAACAACAAAATCCAACCACAGCAGGTTTGTGCTTAAATTACAAGCTCATTCCCACTGTGAGATGCGAACTTAGATTGTGGGCATGGAGTTCTTCCTCTGTTCATAGGGTATTTTTTGGTACATACTAATGACATACTGTCATGCAAATGAGTTTGAAATAAATTAAAGGAAATAGTTTTCCCCTAGAGTATATTCAGCTGTAGGACTCTATTGTGAGATCTATTTTCAACTAGAGTTTGGAATTCGGAATAAGAAGCCACTGAACGGAATGCAGTTGCCAATTGTGAGGAGGCATAGCTGGATAAAATCACACCCATCTCCAAAATACGATCATCTATTTAAAACTGGGAGGAGTAGGATGAAATCTGTACTTGTGTGGTTTGACTTTGTACATTTCATTGTACTTGGTGTTTATTTTTTTGGGTTTTTTTTTCCTGTCGCATCAACATTTTAAGGCCAGAAATGTCTTTTTTGTTGTTCTTGTTTTGTTTTTGTGTTGTTTTTTTTTTTAAACCACAAATATTGGCTGTGTGTTTTACAGACAGGCGTAACAAAACCAGTGGCCAGGTCATTAGTGAAAAACATTCTTCATAAAGCTCTATTGTTGCTTCATTAAGTTTAATAGCTTAATATTTCATGATGTCCCTTTTAAAGGGCTCAGAGAATTTCATACCTCCTAGTGAGGCATGCATTTTTTACAATGAGAGTTTAGAACTTCAGATGATTCAGGCAGGATTCCGAAAACATTTCTCACACGTAGTTGCTTGATGAACTTACGAGACACCCTTCTAAATGCATTGATTTATCATTTATTTATTGCTGATGCTGAAGGCTGAATTCCTTGTGCTAAGATCAGTGTATGGTCTCTGTGAACCACTGATAGTTTTATGTTTCATGTTTGTTTTTCCATTTGATTTTACTGTATGTTTTTGAAGATTGTACTTCGTTTGTTGGCTTGGGGAAAAGCAGCATGACACAATGAGAGCTAACAGACTCAGATGACTGTGGTGATTGCTGCACCTTCTCCACATCCATTTCTGTGAAGGGAAGTTAAGCAGCTTGATAGGTCTTTTTACTTGTCCCTCTGTCATCCCCTGCTGATTAACAGAGTTGCTGTTTATCCGTTGTCCTTCTCTTTCCATCTCCTTACTGGTGCCTACGTGTTACTGCTCGTTGCAGGCTAACAGTGCTAACCTTGAATGACATAATGTCATTGACTTCATTTTCCAGTCGATCCCTCTGTTGCTAGTTATTCCATTGTCTCGAACATAACCAGTTCCTCATGGTGGTTTTTAATTCTTCCAGGTCACTAGTTGGTATGGAAAGGAAATGAGGAATTCTTCTGCTGGCTTTGCTAAAGGTTTATTAATTACGTGGCTAAACAGAATGTATCATTAGAGCATTCTGTTTAAGGACAATACTTTCATAATTCTATTTAGATTTTTTTTATGTGTTTGAGGTTTTTCTTGATTGATTGGTTCAAAATGCTTTACAGACTTCAGTGAATTCCCAGTAAGGTATCAACATAATTTTCCTTTTTACAGACGTGGATCTGAAGCACAGAGGAGGACAGAGTGGCCAAACTGTTTATGTTCAGTGGCCATCGATGTGCTTTAGAGTGCCTAAAACTGGAGTTTAGCAAGTATGACCAAAACTGAAGAAAAATCCCCATCTTACTGGAGCAAATGTTGGAAGCAGGACTGGGGACAGCCGTAGGGTGTGTGGTGATGCTGTGTTGCTGTCCTTGAGCAAATAAATGCTGCTTTGTGTTTTTCTGTCAGTTTATCTGTGGCTAGGAGGAATTTTTTTTTGCCAACTCTGAAATAGAGTTGAGAATTTTCCATGTTCTTTGGCATTATGCACATATCACAAGGCAGACTCTGCTGTTCATCGTGGTAGAGCAGTTTCATGTAGCAGAAATGTTCTGGTTATCAAACAGGAAGAATTTGGGTGTACATCACAACTTTTTTCCATTACTAAGAAAAAGCAAACAGTAACCTTTTAGAATTAGTTAACAGTATAATGAGAAACTTCATTTCAAGCAAATAATTTTTTTAAAGCAGTGTTTCTTTTTTTCTTGTATTTCAGAGGAAGAAATGATGGCAGAGTTGTCATACAAGCATCCAGGGACAATTCAAAAAGTAAGTCAGTCAAAAAAGACTACTCAGTGTGATCATATACGTAGAACATAAATTTAGTTGAAAGGACTGTTAGTTTTCCTTCTTTCTTTGACTGTGTCAGTGAGGTACGCGTGCTTTGTAGAGCTGTTTTGAGTTAGCTGGTTTCAAGTCTTGTGGCTAAGGGTGAGATGCATTTAGTAGATAGCTTCTCATTTCTATGTCAAGATACTGCTCAGGATCGTGTCCTGCAATTTCATTATTGCTTTTCTTAGAGCCCCGATGGCCCAAAAAATGTGAAGAGGTTTGTGGGGAAACACTTCATCTTAAGTCATTTCTGATAAAACTTGAGTGTTCAGAGGAGCCTACAGATATGCAAGAAGGGTGAGAAAGGGTTGGGAGGTCACAAAAATGTGGTAAAGTTCTCCGTAGTACCAACTAGTGTAAGGAAAATTTTAAACTTCGTTTTAGATTGGTTAATATTTTTGAATATATTGGTAACATTTATTTGGAGTACTGTGTGTGTGTTTGCAATTTAGCACAGAAGTTTCTTCCATTTTGGTCAATGAAGGAAGACATTTTTTGGTGGTGTTTCACATGGCAAGCCTTACAACTCATCTTTCGGACTCGTAGTAGATGCTGGGGATGTGTGCTTTTAACTGTCTTGAACAGACCATGTGCTATGTGATAAAAACATCTACACAGCAGTTGTAATAAAAAAACCTAGTATTATTCTGATTTTGTTTTCGTGATGGCTTAACAAGTGGGTCATTAAAAGATTGCATGAGGTTTTCTGCGTATTGTTGAGTCAAATGATCTGTCTGCAAAAGCATCTCAGCTTCTTCAGTAAGGGATGAGTATGTTTTTAAGTGTAGATTTTGATACTGTTGATGCCTTCTATTTGTCAAACAGTCTCGTGGGTTCTTCATTATTTTTGTATTAGTTATGTGAATGTAATTTTATTATCTCTTTTTTGTCTAAGAGAGTAGGCAGTTCTACAGGCTGTCTCTTTAGAGGCACTTTCTATTTAAAAGAAAAAGAAAGATTAAAAGAAAAAGTGGTAGAACATGTGTCAGGCATATGCAATTCCTCCAGCGTCATGTTTTCCACACTGATTTAATAGTTATTGAGTCTCTTCAAATATTCTTCTTTCCAAGACCTGTTTTACAGTAATAAATCATCTTGGCTGTAAAATTCTTGAAATGATTCAGTGGGATGATTGTTTCCTTAGCACATTCCCTGAGTGCTCAGAGTTAAAAATGGAAAAGTTCTTAAGCGGGTCACTTCTTTTTTCCCTGCAATGTGTTGTGGATTCTGAAAACTGCAGTCAGTAAGTCATCTGTGTTGGCCCTGGTGAACCACTGTTTGGCTCCTTACTGTCCTGATTTCTCTTGGTAGCTCATGGTAAGTTTTCTGTTGGAGTGCCATATTAAACTAAGTTAAGAAATGCCTAGCTGGATAAAGGCGGGCGAAGTTGTGGTGTGATTTGAAACGGGTCTTCATTTTAAAAAGTAGAAAAAAACTTACAGGAATTTATACTTAGTTTAGTAATAAAATTGCTAGGGGCTTCCTTAATTTCCTGAAGCATTTGCACACAGGGCTGGTGGATGATGTGGTGGGCACAGCAGGCTTTTTGACACAGAGGATAGCATTGTAAGACAAGATTCATCCAGGATAGTTCTTAACATCTACTTACAGTCAGTGCCATTTGGAGCTTTTAGGTTCTGAAGATGTATGGGAAGTCCATCAATAGTGAGCTGCTTCAGTATGTGGTCTGTTGTGCTGTCAGCTTGAATTTATTTGGGTTTGCCATCAGAGTATCATTTGGAAACTGCAAGCTCGTATGTTGGAAAAATCCAAAATGAATGCTGAAGTCATTGATGTTGATTGCAATTTAATAAATCGTCAGACATGCAACGGTGATAAATTTTGTTATGCCTGCTCTGTTTGTCTCCAGAGGGTGGCCAAACATTATATAATCTCTGTGGCTTTCTGACAGCTGGAGAAGACTGTTAAAATCAGCACTTAGTTACTGGGAGCAGATAAGAGGCCCGTAATAAGTTCTGTCTATTGGGTGTGCCAAGGCAGGCCATTAAGTAGCTCATTGGGAGCATCATGTGTGCAAAGGCAAGGGAGAGGAGTGTTAGCCCAAATTCTGCACAGCTGGAGGATCTTCTTTGGATGGAAACACCAGGTTATACTGTGAAATACAGAATACTTTAAAATCTGTAGCTTTCTGAAATACTGCTGTTTCTCTGATGTTTTCTTAGTGGATGTCAGATACTGGAATTGTCCTTGAAGTAGCTCAGCACTGAGGAGAACAGTTAAGTTCTGGGGCTGGTTCTTCTGTGAGTGATTCCTTTAGAAGTACTTGAGAATTGGGGTCTGGGGTACTTGATCATTAAGTACCTTAGGGTACTTGGGGCTAAGATTTTGCTCTTCCCTGAGGGTTTTCAGTAGGTGTATTAGATCTGTTCTTACCTTTGTTTTGGAAAAAAAGATCCTTGCATTTGTAATTACATATAATCAGAGCATTTTAATCAGGTGCTTTTACAGCAAAGTGTAAACCTTATGGTTTCAAGTTTGTTCTTTGTAATAATGTGAAATAGCCTTTCTTGTATTTGTAGCTACTGTTAGTCACAACAGGGAGCAAGTTCTTCACTTGAAGGTGGGCTTAAAAATTACTTAAACTGTAGGATTTTGACAACGCCATGTTTTGTGTTGACTCTCATTTTTGTTAATGACTTCTGTAAGAAGACTGGGGACCGTTTTTCCTGAGTGTATGTGTGTTCACACTTGTAGAGTTGGCAGGAGGCTTAGCTGTCATGGTTCTCTTTTGAACTGTTAATCAGTTATGTCAAGACCTGGGGCGATCTAATAAATTGACAGGGTGATGGGGAAGGCCTTTCTTGGCAGCTCAAGTTCAGCTAACCTGCGTACATTTGAGAAAGGCTCTTAGTTGTGATCTTCAGTTGTGAAGTGAGGAGACCGTGCCTACTTTAAACTTCATACACATCAGTCTCTTGGCTTTTCAGAAGTCTGACTGCAGGCATCAGGAGAAAGCCCACTCCTTGCATGTGTGCAGGCAAACGGATTTCATGGAATGTTGTGCCATTCCCTCTGGCAGCTGAGGATAGTGAATAACAAGGATGGCTTGCAGAGAAGAGCGTTGCCAGTAGTGGTCTGGAAAGCCATTTTCCTCGTCAGGCATTTGTCATCTTCTCAGGAGATTGACTAGCATGCAGCACAGGAGGAGACAAACCACTAAGAGGTCAGTGCTATTGGACCTGTGTCAAGTAGCCATTAACACAGGCAGTAAATATTCAGAAAGAAACTCTTCATTTGACAATGCAGTCTTCTAGATGACTTGTAAAGATAAAAACACTCCGTGTTTTTAAAAGAGCACTTTTAATTTTTGTCAGATGTGAAAGTACCTGTAAGTTTAATGTGTGCTTTACAAATAGAGCAGCAAGCTAGGACCAGTTACTAGATTTGCATTTTATGAGTTGGCTGTGGTATAATGGCTTCAAACACAACATTCAGGCACCATCATTAGCACTGGGAAATTTTTATGCTCCAATATCACGAGTGGGAGCTGTGTAGAGCTGAGTGCACTTCATTGGTGTGAACGATGGGCAATTAACCAGTTTTGGATTCCCTGCCTGCAGGAAGCAGGGTTCTCTTAGCTTCTCTCAGCTTCTCTCCTTCCTTTCCGTAGTAATTCATCTGCTGCACTGAGCAGAGCTTTCTGTAATCCCGCTTCCCTGCCCTGCATACAAAACAGACAAAAAGAAAAAAAAATACTAACTTGGAATGTTATGCTGCTTTATTAAGAAGATCTGGCAGATGCATATGAAGCTAAGTGGTAAATGGCACGTGTTCCTGCTCTCCTCACCTCTGTCTGTTAAATCAGTCTGTTTAATGCTTCAAAGCCTGCAGGTTTCTGAAGACTTCTGGTGTGTGAAATGGGAAGTCACCTGGTAGCAAAACCTTTTCACCATTTTCTTTTTCTGTTTTTCTTGCAATGACTCACCTTATAAACAAGATAAAATACACTTGGTTTTGACATTTATTGGAAAACTGGAGTTAAGGCAAAAGTTTATTTTCTCTGCTTTTGCAAGCTAATAAAATGTATGTTCGTAGAGCTCTGACTTGCAGTGTTGCTCACTGATGCCTCCCTCAACTCTCTCCTGCAAGCACCTGCACAGACAAACACCCAGGGAGGAATGGAGGAATGTAGCATCTTAAATACACTGTTACTTCTGGTTTTGCAGGCTGCCTCCATGTTGATCTCTTGATGTTGATAAGAATGAATAGTAGGCAGAGGATGATAATTTTAAACTTCTTTCTGTGGAGGTGCTGATTGAAAAAAAAAAAAGTCTTATTTGACTATTTTTGCATTGATAATACTTTTTCTTAACATGAAACTCGGAGATTAACAAATCATTATCTGACTTAATTTAGGTTTTATTTTCCCCTAACTGAGGTTGGTTTCTATAGCTCAGGGTTGGGAACCTCTATATCCTAAAAGGCTATATATGACTCACAGCTGTTTCATACAGCCTATCATATTATTTCTTCACATTAAGAACAGTACTGACACAGTTGTTAACATATGGCCACAGCCTGCCAAATATGTTTAAGAGCCTTGACCCTTAGCTAGAAAAAGATTTCCCTGAAGTTGCTACAAATTGTTGTCACAACCTGTTTTCACTTGAAAAACCACTAAGAGTTGGTGAGCCTTGTGTGTGCTGTGCTTCTCCACTGTCACAGGATGGAGGGAGAGGAATCGCTGCTCCAGAATTCAGACTTGAAGGGATGCAGCCTGTTAGGTTTGAGCTCTGAAATCACTGATTTGGCATTCTATAAAACTGCAAGTTCAAGATCATATTTATATCACACAGTTCTGTTTGCTTTGGGCTTTGAGTTTTGCATGGAGGTAATGGTGGGGGAGATACAACATTGCAGGAAAAGAAAAAACAAGGGTCTTGTAAAAATACCAGGTTGTTACAGATACAGGAAGT